GGGGTAAAAAAATTATCAACATAGTTTTAAAGGGACTGTCATTGAACTCTTAAGTTACATACAATTTATAAAGAGGCATATACCCATTTCACTGAAATGGTAACCTTTAAACCTTTAAAGGTTAATAAGGTCAAAGATATTCTTGTTTTTCTTGCTTAAAAAGGTTTTTTTCCTCCATTGTTACTCAGGCAGAAATCCTAAAGTCACTTTAACAAAGAAACCACAGTTGAAAATAATGAACTTTCAAGGTAAAAATATGGATATGTAATAAATATAATAATCTTCTCTATATCTTTGCACCCTGTATATATATGTTAATTGTTATAGTACCCTGATTGTATTATCGGTCAGTTTATTTTTCCTGTGCCATTAGACCTAAATATAGTTAGTTGGATATAGATTCTGATGCAGGTGGTTATCATACTTAAAAAGACTTTTTTGGAATTAGACATTTGTTATAGATATATACAGTTTATTCTTAAATAGCGTTTACGGGCATCATCTAGAATCAGACTTAACGTAAAGGTTCCTTAAAGTGCAGGTTTATTATATTTTCTAGGGCATCGTTGTAAATCGTGCATGTTTCACTTCGGATAAAAGGTTACTTGAAGTTATGTCCAGTCTGTAGTTCTTATTTTTTCAGATTTTATTGTTTTAGGAACAGGATTACCCATAAATGATGAGACTGTAAAGACGACCTATGATTAAAAAAATCCCCAGATTAAATTAAAGTCTTCTGAAATTCCTTAGAGTCGTCTTTGAAGTCTCATCCTTTGTATGTAACCCTACATAATGCGCGCCAGTGAGAAAATCCTGACCGCACGAGGTTGCGTGATTTTTTTTTAATTTGAGTCTAGTAAAGGGAGTCTAGAGATGGGCGCGTTAGTTTTTTTTCAATTAGTTCGTTCATCGTTAGTTAACGACCCATTTTTTTGTTTAGAAAAAAATTTGATTTTTTTTCTTTTTAGAACTGTCGTTTATTTTTCATCTATTACATTCGTTTGTTTAACTGAAAGATCATTCAACTGAACCGTGCATTCAGTGACATTGTTCGTTCAGTAAACTCGTTCTATCACTTAAAAAAAAACAATCGTTGGTTCAAAAGTTCGTTCGAAAAAAACGATTGTTCAGTAAAAATTCGGTTGTTCATCGCTTATTAATTTTTTGAATGACACCATCGTTCGTTTTTAAAAAATTAGTTTGCTCCTAAAAAACGATGCGGCCATCTCTACCAGTAAACAGTCTTCTTGGGTATCAAAAAAGAAAAATGGAGCAAATATAAAGAAAGAAGAATGAAATAAATGATAATGATTTATTTATACAATCGTCTTTATTTACTAAGTCTAACAATTTAAAGTAGAAAGAGTATTTAGTTTTCAGGCGCCACTGTTTTGCAGAAAATAAATATTTTTATCTGTACTTAGCTGACCCGAGTCTTCTTGTGCACGTTGCCGCTGACAATAAGTTATGTTTTGCGCACCCGCCATGTTTGTTATTGTAACTAAGGGAAATGGAAACAAATAACTTCTTATTCCACCTTTTTGTCTCAGTTTTGCATTGATGAAATTTTTTAACTTCTTCTGACAGGAACACAGCTCAGGGTCTTAGGTGTAACTATACAGGTATACGCAAGAAAGGGGGAATAGGCATTAATCCAAATAAAATTGTTTTTTTTAAATCAAAACAATACGTTTTTACTTACAAGGAATTACGTGTGAAAGTGTAAGTCAATTTTTTAAAAGTTTTTTATAGCAATTTATGTTTTGTCTAAAATTCGGTGATGGTGATGGACCAAACCTCTGTAGAGTAAAAAAGTAGATGCTAGTTCCACTTTTATTGAATTTATATTTTGTTCATTTTATTTTCAAATTGAATCGCATCATTGTATGACATAAATCTAAATTTGAAAAAAAAATTGGATCTTAAACCTGTTATATAAAAATCTCTAATATTTTATTCGCAACTATCAAACAATAAAAAGCATATTGAAATTGCGAATATTTTGTCCACCAAAATAAAAGTATGTCTACAATTGTCCACCAAAATAAAAAAATGCCTACAATTGTCCACCAAAATAAAAGTATGTCTACAATTGTCCACCAAAATAAAGTATGTCTACAATTGTCCACCAAAATAAAAGTATGTCTACAATTGTCCACCAAAATAAAAGTATGTCTACAATTATCCACCAAAATAAAAGAATGTCTACAATTGTCCACAAAAATAAAAGTATGTCTACAATTGTCTACCAAAATAAAAGTATGCCTACTATTGTCCACCAAAATAAGAGTATGTCTACAATTGTCCACCCAAAATAAAGTATGTCTAAAATTGTCCACCAAAATAAAAGTATGTCTAAAATTGTCCACCAAAATAAAATTATGTCTATAATTGTCCACCAAACTAAAAGTATGCCTACAATTGTCCACCAAAATTGCAATAAGATAAGAGTAGAACATTTAATTAAAGCCAATTTACGAAAAGAGTATAACGACATTTGATAACCTCCTTTTTTCTAGTAGAATATGCAGGTTGTTCCACGAAACATGACAGTTGGTAAATAGTTTAAAATGTCTTCTCCCATAAGTTAAGTTGTTTGATACCAAAAAGAATAATAAAATATATAATATGGCATTTCTTATCATGATAAAATTGATTTCAAAGTAATTAACATGGTTGAGTAAAAGACTTGTTTAACGAAATAAATCGCAAAAAAAGACTTTAATTAATAATACAGTATATAGAAAAAGACATTCAAACCTGTTCATCAACTGTCATGTTTTGTGGGACACCATATTGCGAAATAATATATGTTCACTAAGAAAAAAAATATTTTATTATTATATATTAATACAACAAGATTTCTCCGCAAATTTTGAATTTTGAAGAAAAAAAATTCATTTTCTAATTTGTGGGTTTGCCTCCTCTAAAAACAAATTTTATCAAAATTTTATTTTAAAATCTAAATATTTTGTAAATATTGGAATAAGAAATAACTTTTTAAATCGTCCTAAACTTTTTACAATAATATTTGTTTGAAATTATAACGGCAAAGAGTGTATCACAAAAGATTGTAAATCTTATGGGCTCTCCAAAATGTGGTCTTGCCTTATTGTGCATTTCTGAATGAAAAAGCTATTTCAATTATTTTGGTTTTGCTAAATAATGTTAGAATTTTTACTTTTGTTAAGTCTAAACAAACGATCCATCAGGGAAATGTTATTTTGTTCCATAAATTGAAAAGAAGAGAGTGATTTCAATTTAATTGACCATATTTGAATCATATTCGAAAAATCAAACATTACCAGTTTGTGTTTCTGGGCCTAATGTTAAAAGAAAAGTTACCCAGTAAACCAGATCACATCGACTAAGCGTTAGAAAAAATGATGATATCATTGTTAATCAATAATAGAGAACAGGGCACCAGTCGCGAGTAGGACTTCCAGCGAATAAAAAAATGCGAAAATTTTTATTTGTATTCCGCAAATTTTCGCAAAATTTTGCATTCATTCGCGAAAATTAAATAAGCGAAAAACTGCGAAAACGAAGCTAAATTTCGCGGAAACCACAAGTTTTGTTTGAAACACTTGCCTGCGTTAAAAAAACTTGTTAAATTCTCTGCTCTGAGAGCTCTTCATTAGAAGTTTTATCGTATCATAATGGATAATTTCTCTTCCATATTTGTTAACGCAAAATTTTCGCATTTCATTTTCCCGAAAATTTTGCATTTGTTTTTTTACGCGAACTTTGCGCATTTTTTCTTGAAATTTTCGCTTTTCTTTTTTTCGAAACAGATTAAAGCGAAAATTTATGCATTTTTCGCAAGCGAACGGAGTACGGAAAAATACAAAAATTTTGCGAAACGATTTCCACTTTTCGCTGGAAACCCTAATTGTGAGTACGGCATATAATGTAATGCTTTAAATTTGTATTGAAAAATGACGCTAACTGTTTCTTTAACTTTATTTTAAGTCTCCGACTACAGAGGTCTGAGATACAGTAAGAACCAGAAAACTCTGGATTAGGAAGACGATTTTTAGACTCAAGTTATAACTTTGAACACTCCATATCCGCCCGTCAAAAGCAAACTCTGTTGTCAGGATCTCTGATATAAGAAGTCGGTTCAACTCCTCGCAGAATAATTTATTTTTCCATAAGGAAAATCCTAGGCAGCGTGCGATATACTACATGAAGTACGTTGCAAAACATTCCTATAGTAAAGAAAAAGTTCAACTTGATTAGGTATTTAATTACTTACTAATTTGCGGTGTATTAAATAACATCATGTGCACTTTAGTATTGATTTTATGTCGTCTTCATAGGACAAATCCAATACCTGTACACTGTACCATTTATCTCCAGCCTTGAATCTAAAAAAAATCTAATAATTTTAGCCTCAAAAAAACTTTATACAGTGAAACCCCTAATAACGAATACATCGGAAGAATTTATCAAATGTCGTCTTGACAATTTTTCAATGAGTTTTATACTATATTTCGTTAATTTCAGTATTTGCGAAAATAAATAAATAGCCATGAATATGCGGGAACAGTTTTAAAGAGTTCCATATAATCATTTAATTAAAAAAACTAAATATCTGCAACATTCCATTATCAGAAAGTGAAGAATACGACATTTGATGAATTCTTTCGATGTATTCGTTATTAAAGGTTTCACTGTATATATATATTAGAGACATCATACAAGGGATCCATAAAACTGTGAAAACTCTAAATATTTCACATGGGATCCATAATAACTAGATTTATAACACTGTTATTTTGGTTCGCAGTGTTATAAAGTTTTTGGACGAAAATGTTCTCTTTATCGAGAAGGTTCAAGCTTTTTTAGATACAGAGAAAATATAATTTTTTAGCACGTCGTGCGAAAATAATAGTGTTATAGGTTATAATGTTATGAAACTTTTGTGTACTTGTCTCAATTCAATGGCTATTTCAAGATAAATTAAGCTTTTTTAAAAAAGCAGAAACAAAATATAAAGGTAATTTCAATTTTATTTTCATATATAATGAAAAAAAATATTCTAGAAATATCCTACATGTTTGCAGAAAATTCGGGAACCAATCAAAATTTTATAGAACACGTGCAATGTGCATGCAATATATTATTTTTACATTTATATTACATTATTTTATATAAAAAAAGTCTTAATATTTATATATGTATATTGACACAATTTATCATACAGACGGCTGGTAAAGCGAATTTTCATAAGAAAAAGTTTTGTTTTCTTAATTTTGCTTTGTANTTTATGTTTACCTGTACTGTATGTTTATGTTTACCTGTACTGCATGTTTTTGTTTACCTGTACTGCATGTTTTTGTTTGTCAGGAGTGTAGATGTATCCAAGCTCTTCAGTATTCAAACATAATTATCTAGTGTTAAAACTAAAAGCATTAACAACAAAAAATTATTTAAAAGCATCTAAGCTAATTGGAATATAACGTTCAAAATTTTAGAGAATTATTATTAAAAATTATTTTAATGTGTTTTGGAGATTGCTTTAAAAAACTATTATTGCATTAAGCTCTATTTTACAAAAAAAAAATTTGACTTTCCTTTATTTCTAAAAATATGACGCCTATGACTTGTTTACAAAATAAAACAAAATCATTAGATTTTTTTAGAAAATGCTTTTTTATTAATTTCTTTTTGCTTCTAAGGTAATTTTTTTTTGTTGATTTAGGGAAAATTTATTTTACAAAGTGCTAGGAACGATCGCAAAAAACTGCAAAAAATGCTTCAGCAATTTCCGATTAACCTATTTGTGCAACAGTAAGCGTAACTTTAAGTGAATCTCCAGGCAAAGATGTCAATGCCCGATTTGCAACAGTACCCTTGAAACCTAAATCAGATCAAAATTGTGGGAGATGCCGGTGTTTTTTTGGACTCAAGAGTTTTATTTCTGTGAATTACTCCATTACTTCGTAAAACAAGGAGAGAGCAAGTCAATTTAGCAGAGAAAACACAAATGAGAATAAACAATTTATGGAAACCAAATCATGAATATCTAATGCAAAAACTACGCTTATAGGCCCTTTAATAATGTAAATATTTGATTTCCTAAAGTAGAGAAGATGCCGGGCTGACTAACTATACCTAGAAAACCTCGTAAACCAGAACTAAAAATATTAAAGTTAAAGTCAAAGAGAATAAAAGATATATTAGAGTGGAATTTAGACAATCCCTAGGTATGAATTTTCAGCCTGAAAGGGAGTTCAAAGTGTACAAATCATGTAAATGTTCACAAAATGTATGCTGTAGAGTACATTAATACAGTATGTTCCCTAGACTATCCATTTCAATTTCGACTTTTTTAAAGCTGTTAAATAAAGTTTATAAAATAAATAAGGTGAATAAAAACATTATTTGATTTATATTTATAACGGAAAATCATCGTTTGTAAAGTGAAAGGCATAGAGTCTATGTGAAATGATCATTGGTTAATTATGAAACCAGCCTATTTCATAATTTGGTTTTCTTATAACATTAATTTTAGATTTTCTATAAAATGATATTCCAGGGCCCAAAAGGTTATATAGCATAAATATGTGAAGTACACCT